TTTTTCTAATATGGCAGACTGTAAAATTATATTCGTCGTTATGCTTTTACAGGAACTCAAGAGTATTGAAGTGATTGAATTCTCAAATAAGACATACTGAATTATTAGTTGCTAACCCTCATGTCGTTCATATGTTCTCTTCAATACACATATGAAACAATTTTTCTAATATGGCAGACTGTAAAATTACATTCGTCCTTATGCTTTTATAGGTACAACAAGAGTACCGAAGTGAATGATTGCTCAAGTAAGACATACTGAATTATCAAGATTATTACCAGGTTGAATTATGTTCTTGCTTTAATGTCAGATGATAATCCTCACATTTACATATGTGTTCATATGTTCATGTGTTCATATGTTCATGTGTTCATATGTTCATGTGTTCATATGTTCTCTTCGCTACACATAAGGCAATTTTTCTAAAATGCCGATTGTAAAATGGTAACAATCGTTATATCTAAAAGGGACTTCCAAGTGATTGAATTCTCAAGTCTCCAATTGAAGTTCATGAACTCGAAGATCCATAAAGAGAGAAGGCAGCGGCAGCAAGATTGTACGGGAAAGTTTACGAGCAGTCAGTGGTCGGGCGGATTCCGTAGATTATCAACAGAACCAGACGATATTACGGCATCCCGACGTTCTTCCGCTTTCATGACCGAAATACTTGTGTTCCACGCTCGCCATTAAGTAGGTTCCACGGCCGCGTGTGCTGGTGCACACACGCGAGCACACACGACGCTTAGGCCGCTTCCGAAGAATTCGTTTACCGTCAGGCGCCAGAAACGTTTTTATCGTGCCAGGGAAGAAGCAACTCTCCCACATTATTTTCGTAGCGCTCCCGTGTTTACGCGCTGTCTGTACGCCATTCAGAGCTATGGGACACGAGAACAACGGTACGAACCCTATTTCAGTCAATTTGATCGCCATGACGGACCCCGGAGTTAACTTTATTGAATTTCTTCCTTTCTAAATTTCCGCCTTTTAAGTTGAACTTTTACATGAATGAACTTTCCATTTACATATTTAATTACCTGCATGATTTCAAGATGTTTCAATTTCATTTCAAGTCAATTCAAGGTCCAAGGTCACCGTAAAAAATAATTTTGAAGCCTGTATAAACTCCATTTGACCCGCTGATAATATTTCAAAGAGCAGAAAATTTATGAAGTTCGGGAAAGAAGCTCCGTTAACCTTCCCCTGGATATTTATGATCGAATCAGCGCTTTCACTCTGATTGAAAGTACGCTGGGGAACAGCGAAAAGTTCGGAACTCGGGCAATCCGAAAATATCTACGTGTCTGCCAGTTCTTTCGTTACATCCCGACCTTATTCCCCTCACCAACTTTCTTCGCTTTTGTTTTCTCTTGCAACGTATCTGTAGGTTCCTCTGTTCATGGTCATTGTTGCCTCCGCGAAAAGATTGAAGCGCGTGTCGGGAAACAATGAACAGCTTTTGTACGTGGAGTATGTACGCACGGTTTGCACGTGATTGGTGGATTTTTGCGAAACTTCCTTCTGCGTCAATTAAGATAACTTACGATAAGAACGGGATATCCGTGGACGATAGTGACGCTGATAGGTGCTCGACCTTTCTCGCTCGAGAATGATAAATCCAGTTACTGAATAATGGTCAGCGTTACGCGAACGATAAGCGTTCAATTAATTGCATTTCATTAGTCTTCATCTCTTCGTTCGTCTAACGCGTTTATTTTCTACGAAGTTATTAAACAAGTCACGAGGACAAGGAAAGAGACATTTTTGCAGGTTAATATCTGATTTGGTGTACGTATTATACAGGAATGTAATTAGCGAGCTTGTGAAATCCACAGAAATTATTTTCCTTGAAAACTATCAAAGTGTATTTAATTCGAAGGAAATCGAGTTATAATTACGTCTCTATTTTCACCCTGTCTGAGCTTTCCGATCGAACTTGAATATCAAACGATTCGTACAAATTTTTGCTGACCGGAAGCGTAAAACGGTTACAAGGGAACGTTGTTTGACAGCTGGTTGAAATATTTGCACAAAGATTGGTCTATAAAGTTCAGTGATTCCAATTTGTATATCGGTTGCTATACATAGAAGACCTTGAAACGGAGGGAGAAAGAAGCTGCATTATAAACTTTATTCGATTTTCCGTAGGTGCAGCGAGGAACTAAGATGTGCAAGCCAGCCAGGAAGAAACGCTCTTAACGTCGTAAGTCTATCTTTGTTTTGCGACATCACGACACTTTATCGTAAAATATCACGACGAGAAAAAAGTAGTAATTCTGCGATGCAGGAGAAATGTTCTAGCACTATTCTATTTTCACCTAGCAGTTTCTGTTTATGGTACGTCCTACTTTGTAGCTAGAATAAAGGTCAATCAGTGCAACGATGCCAGTAAATCCTTTGTGCTTTGATACAATATCGATCGTTCGAAAAAACAGAAAGCTTCTCGATGAAGCGATATAACCCGATTCGCGGTCGTAAAAGCTTCATTTTTGCAGTTCCGTCTTTTCCGACGGAAGTCTTTTCTAAACTTCTCGGAGTTGCAGCATGATTTTTGATGCTTCGCGTTAACGCTCGATCGAGAAGGGCGAAGCGCCGTAAAAGGGTTGATTCTTCAGCGGAGGGAGCCGCCTTTGGAAAGCCAGTTAACGTTGCACGTATCGCGAACAGAGGCTACAATTTAACGAGATTAACGTTTAATTGAATTCCGATGCAGGTAAAAGAGGCCATGTACTTCGTTCTCTCGGAGGTTAATACGCAATTGAGGTTGAGAGAATACGATTAAAGGACGGTCTACGCTCGAGTTAATCGAACCGCGTATCGATTAGCGCTCGACACGTAATGGTGCTCGTTTCAAATAAACGTGGGACATCAAACGGTAACCGCGTGAATCGTTTCGTGTTCGTAGTTCGCGGCCAACTTTCGTAATCTCGGCAAACGATATTGGAATCGGTAACGAGGCAACGCTGTAAAAACGACTTCTTATACTGCAATTAAACTTTGTGGCTCCTTAGAATTTTAACCGTGAAAGTTAATGAGTCACGGCTTTTACGACTTAGCTATTTTTGAACGATCCTTTAATACATTTTATCTCGGAAATTTCCAAAGCCTTTCCAATTTTATAATTTCATAATACTGATCCTAAGTATTGGACTTCTCTATCTGAGCCACATTAAACAATTTCTAAAAATTGATCCACAGTCATGAACTTGTCTTTATGGTCCACATTTAAAAAGTTCTAAAAATTGATCCACAGTCATGAACTTCTTTTTTTGGTCCACATTTAAAAATTTCTAAAAATTGATCCACAGTTATGAACTTGTCTTTATGGTCCACATTTAAAAAGTTCTAAAAATTGATCCACAGTCATGAACTTCTTTTTTTGGTCCACATTTAAAAATTTCTAAAAATTGATCCACATTTATGAACTTGTCTTTATGGTCCACATTTAAGAATTTCTAAAAATTGATCCACAGTCATGAACTTGTCTTTATGGTCCACATTTAAAAATTTCTAAAAATTGATTCACAGTCATGAACTTGTCTTTCTGGTCCACATTTAATAATTTTCAAATATTGATCCAAAGACATGAACTTATTTATTTGACCCACATTAAACAATTTCTAAAAATTGATTCAAACTCATGGACTTGTCTTTATGGTTCACATTAAACAATTTCTAAAAATTGATCCAAAGTCATGAACTTGTCTTTCTGGTCCACATTTAATAATTTTCAAATATTGATCCAAAGTCATGAACTTGTTTATTTGACCCACATTAAACAATTTCTAAAAATTGATTCAAACTCATGAATTTGTCTTTCTGGTTCACCATTTAAAAATTTCTAAAAATTGATCCAAACTCATGGACTTGTCTTTCTGGTCCACATTTAATAATTTTCAAATATTGATCCAAAGTCATGAACTTGTCTATTTGACCCACATTAAACAATTTCTAAAAATTGATTCAAAGTCATGAACTTGTCTTTCTGATCCACAATTTAAAAATTTCTAAAAATTGATCCAAACTCATGAACTTCTCTTTCTGATCCACATTTAAAAATTTCTAAAAATTGATCCAAAGTTATAAACTTGTCTATTTGATGTACATTAAACAACTTCTAAAAATTGATCCAAAGTCATGAACTTATCTTTCTGGTCCACAATTTAAAAATTGCTAAAAATTGTTCCAACTCATACTTGTGTATGTGGTTCACACTAAAAAATTTGTAAATACTGACTCAAAGTCTTGGTCTGTCTAACAAAATTTCGAAATGATCTACTATAATTTCCAAATAATAGACGCATCTTAAAACGTTTAACCAAGAACAGAGTTCAACAAGAAGAGAGAAATCATTAGACATTTCTGAGAAAGTAGTAAACAAAGTAAAGCATGATGCGAGTCACGTAGATTTGAGAACGTAATATGAAAAGCGAAGATTCGTGTCACGGACGATGTTTAGGCATTTATCGAAAGCCTTGAAAACTGACAGGAACCCGACGACGTACGACGCTGCTCGACACGGACAAATAGGAGTAAAAAATCGAGAAGATGACGAAGAGGTTCGAGTTCAATTGGCAGATCGAGGTACCGTTAGCGCTACGTCAAGGATGCATGTTCGATCGTTGGTCAGAGGAGAAGGATAATACGGAGCTCGAACTGAATTGCATGTTCAAGGTCGATGAGTATGGTTTCTTCATCTACTGGCAAAGCGAAGGAAAAGTGAGTGTCTACCTTTTGTCTATGGCTACCCTTTTGTTCTTTCAAAGAAAGACGATATCTCGTAGGTTAGGTCTTATCGAAGACAATGCTATTTTATTACGTTTTCTTGTATTCTTTTGTTCGAATAGGACGGGGACGTGATTGAACTGTGTCAAGTGAGCGACATACGCGCCGGTGGGCTACCAAAGGTAAGACCTTTTGCCTATCGATACACCTTGAGCCCGTTTTTGATGAAATATTCAAACTCGCATTATTGCTACGAAATTAATTGCTGAAGAATTCGATTAAGGAATTTCGCAAACGAATCGGTAAAACTGTTCCGTTTAATTCAGGACCCGAAGCTGTACGACAAGCTGCTGACGAAGCACGGCGAGCAATTAGACGAGAAAAGTTTAACCATCTGTTCGGGCGTAGATTACACCAATATTAATTACCAGCACGTCGTTTGTCCGGATCCAACAACGGCCAAGGTAAATTTGTTCCAAAACGACTAAATTATTGTAACGATTTCGTTCCGACAGAGGAATTTTCCTAATCGATCGAGTAATTATTAACGACTAACACGTGTTTGTCCCACGACAGGTATGGCTGGATGGCGTACGGTCGATTACGCACAACGTGAAAGCCAACAACGTTTGCCCTCTTACGTGCTTGAAGAAACAGTGAGTTTGCTAATTCAATTACACCCACAAATACACATCAAACACCTACGCCGCGACTAGTGTTTACGCGAATGTGAAATAATTAAGCGGAAACGTACTCGACTACGTCTTTCCCAGTTTTGTCCGCTTAAAAGCGTGACTCGATGGGACTCGCGTTTCACAAGAGAAAGCAAACAAGATCTTTTTTTCTGCTCTTCTTTTCCGCGATGGGAAATATCGTGTTTTGCTACGCGCACGGAAAACTTATACACGAAAGTTATCTTTTTACGACCGTGAAATAAAAGGTGGCGTGTTCCAGTTGGATGCGGCTGAGAATGCTGGTCGATCCGAATGGAAAAGTTCCGGTGAAAGTGGTCGCGAGGACTTTCGCGTCCGGGAAAACGGAGAAGCTCGTCTATCAGTGCCTCGCCGATTTGGGCCTACCTAGCGGAAAGGTAATTAATGAAAATCCGAAAGTGTCGTGCATGATCGACGTTCCGTACGAAAATTGCAGAACGACGTCATCGAGCCAGACGACTTCACGTTCGACGCGTTCTACGCGCTCTATCACAAAATCTGTCCCAGAAACGACATAGAGGAACTGTTTCAATCCATGTGAGTACAGGAAACGTTTAACGAGCGCTAATCGATCGATCCGTCAATAAACGTGGAAAGGAACGTTTGTTTGCTCTGAACGTTCCAGCACCCAGGGGAAGGCGAACACCATCAATCTAGAACAACTGGTCATGTTCTTGAATGAGAAACAACGCGATCCGACGCTCAACGAGATTCTGTATCCGCTGTACGATGAGAAGAGGGCGTTGGAAATTATCAAAGACTATGAGCAGAATGAAACCGCACGAAATCAAAGTAAGACTTTACCTCTTCATGTCTAAGGATTCATCTTTAAATCTCATACCTTTGATACTTCATATCATTAATATAATTTTAGCAGTCATAATCTGATACTTCATATCAGCAATATAATTTTAACAGTCATAATCTGATACTTCATATCATTAATATAATTTTAGCAGTCATACTTTTCATACTTCATGTCATTAATATAATTTTAACAGTCATACTTCTGGTACTTCGTATTATTAATATAATTTTAACAGTCATATCTCTGATACTTCATATCATTAATATATTTTTAACAGTCATACTTCTGATACTTCATATTATTAATATACTTTTAACAGCCATACCTTTCATACTTCATATCATTAATATAATATTAGCAGTCATACCTTTGATACTTCATATGATTAATATAATTTAAACAGTCATATCTTTGATACTTCATATCATCAATATCATTTTAGCAGTCGTACCTTTGATACTTCATATCATTAATATAATTTTAACAGTCATACTTCTGATACTTCATATCATTAATATACTTTTAACAGTCATACTTCTGATACTTCATATCATTAATATAATTTTAACAGTCACATCTTTGATACTTCATATCATGAATATACTTTTAACAGTCACACTTCTGATACTTCATATCATCAATATAATTTTAACAGTCACATCTTTGATACTTCATATCATCAATACAATTTTAACAATCACACTTCTAATACCTCATATCATCAACATAATTTTAACAGTACTTGCATGTGTCCTCTCCAAGACATACTTCTACCATCTAAGTGTCCGAATTAGCTTGTATCTTCGAAACGGCATCCTTTCAGAAGCAACTCCTTTCAGAAACGATGACAAAGGATGGCTTCATAAGGTACCTGATGTCCGACGAAAACGCGCCTGTTTTCTTGGACAGACTAGACGTCTACATGGACATGGACCAACCGTTAGCTCATTACTACATAAATTCGAGCCATAACACGTATCTGAGCGGTCGGCAATTCGGTGGTAAAAGCAGCGTCGAGATGTACAGACAAGTCTTGCTGGCGGGTTGCAGGTAGGTCTTAAATTCATAAAAGAAATTCGTTTTTCTGAAGGAAAGATTTGAAGGTGCGTCGAGTTGGACTGCTGGGATGGTAAGGGAGAGGACGAGGAGCCGATAATCACGCATGGGAAAGCTATGTGCACGGACATACTGTTCAAAGATGTGATATATGCAGTGAGAGACACTGCATTCGTGACGTCGGAATATCCGGTGATCCTCAGCTTCGAGAACCACTGCAGCAAGAAACAGCAGTACAAGTTGGCGAAGTATTGCGACGAAATTCTGGGGGATCTTTTACTGAAAGAGCCTTTGAAAGAGTACCCTGTAAGTTGTGCTATCGAGCAATTAATCGTATCGATATATCTCGTAAAGTAGCACGTTTTGTTGACACGCGTGACGATCGTCAGCAAAACACGGATCCGATAACGGGGCAAATGCGTCAATCGTTACAGATTCTATCGATAACATTATCTTAAGAATAGCTTGAAGTGTTCCAAAATCGAGACAGATGAAACAGATATCGAGTAACAAATATGTTCCGATAACAGCTGGAACCAGGGGTGCCACTACCGCCACCCAGCATGCTGAAGCGTAAGATCCTAATAAAAAACAAACGACTGAAGCCGGAAGTGGAGAAGCACGAACTGGAGCTGTTTAGGCAAGGTCAGTTCGTGATCGAGGACGAAGTGAAGGAGGATGCCAGCGCGCCACCGGTCGTGGCGGCGGTCGTTGAGCAACAGACGGTGAAGGTACCCCTCGTTGCAAGTATCGTTTCTTCTTCAAATTTTCCTATTTGAATTAAATGACTTATCGATACAAATCTACTACAGGAAGAGGTTTCGGTGACCGAGTCGGTCGCTTCGACCACGGTTACGCAACAGCAGTCTGGCTCTAGCGCCGGTTTGGGCGACACTTTGGAGTTGGCAGTGGTTCAACCCTACACCGGAAGCACGACCAACGTGCACCCATGGCTGTCTTCTATGGTCAACTACGCTCAGCCAATCAAGTTTCCCGGCTTCGATGTTGCGGAACGTAAGAAACTCTTCCTAGTTGGATGAAAACTCTGCTTTTTTATTAAAATGTAACTCTGCTTCTTTATGAACATGCAACTCTTTTATACAGAGAAAAATATTCATCACAATATGTCTTCCTTCGCGGAAACCGCTGGCCTGAATTATCTGAAGACGCAAGCCATCGAGTTCGTGAATTATAACAAGCGGCAAATGAGCAGGATTTACCCGAAGGGTACTCGAGCGGACTCATCGAATTACATGCCACAGGTAATTTTCGCGTTAAATCTAGCCAGAACACACGCTGATCGATCCATCGGAAACAGGTCTTCTGGAACGCCGGCTGTCAAATGGTGTCGTTAAATTTCCAAACGGCGGACCTGCCGATGCAACTCAACCAGGGAAAATTCGAGTACAACGGCTCGTCTGGGTACTTGCTGAAGCCTGATTTCATGCGGAGGGCCGACAGGAGTTTCGATCCCTTCGCGGAGAGTCCCGTGGACGGCGTGATCGCCACTCAGTGCAGCGTTCAGGTATTTCACACTAAATTTTTACCAAATTCGCAAATTTAAACCAGGTTTCTAACCTTCGTTAACAGGTGATCGCAGGTCAGTTTCTGTCGGACAAGAAAGTGGGAACCTACGTGGAGGTGGAAATGTACGGTCTGCCCACGGACACGATCCGCAAAGAATTTCGGACGAGGGTGGTCCCAGCGAACGGCCTGAACCCCGTGTACAATGAAGAACCCTTCCTCTTTCGAAAAGTCGTCTTGCCAGATCTGGCAGCGCTGAGATTCGCGGTGTACGACGAGTCGAATGGGAAACTGCTGGGTCAGAGGATTGTTCCTCTGGATGGTCTGCAGTCGGGATACAGGCACATATCTTTGCGAACCGAGGCAAACTTTCCCATGTCTCTACCTATGCTGTTCTGCAACATCGAGATCAAGATTTATGTGCCAGACGGATACGAAGGTTAGGAAGCTTTGAAAGGGGGACTCGTCAGACGTTTTATAATGTTTTTATCTTGAATTAGGACTTATGGACGCGCTGACAGCGCCACGGGCCTACAAGAAACCGGAGAACATGTCACAGAACAAAATGCGCGGCCTTGGAATTGAGGAGAGCGACAGCAAAGGGAACCCTGATTCCATGAGTGCTCATCGCGAGGTGGCCAAACCGAGAGGTATAATTTCTGTCAAAATATCAAATTACGAATGACTTTATGAATAAATATTTGCAGAGGAAATGAAATTCGATCCCATAACGGTGGAGTCGCTGCGTCAGGAGAAGGGTTATCAAAAGGTGCTAAAGAAACAGCAGAAGGAGCTGGAGTCCCTGAACAAGAGGCACCAGAAAGAGAAACTTACCGTCCAGAAACAACACTGCGTTGCCATCGAAAAGATTATCAAGGGGAAAAAGTACGACTTTATTTCTGTTCTTCCAGCGAAACTCGTTAACATAAGTTACACAACATCCACGTGTTAAAATAAAATTCCCGACTTCTGAGAAAACTTCTCAGATAAAATTCTTTGAACTGACTTAAATTTATTTTATCAGCAAAGCGGAACTTTCGAGAGACCCAACCGTTCGTCGCGCAGTTTCCGAACAAACGGTTCAATGGTCGCGCCTGGCGGACCGACAGCGACGAGAAGAGCGGGAATTAGTTCGTTCTCACCTGGAAGAGCGAAGAAACACCTTGAGAAAATTGTGCGTGGCTACTCAGCTGTCTCAGCAAAAACAGCTGACGGCGAGACACGAGCGCGAGATCAAGGAGATGAACGCCAGGCAAGCGAGGCTGTCCGTGGAGAGCATGAGGGAGGTGATGAACGACAAGACCCTGAAGACTCGGGGGATCAAGGAGGGCAGGTTGAGGGAGAAGCAGCAGAACAACACGAAGAAGTTCATGGAGGAGAGGAGGATCGCGCAGTTGATTCAGAACAGGGAGAAGGAGAAGCTGAAGGTGATCCACGAGAAGCAACTGGAGGAATTGCAAAAAGACATGAACGCGGTAAAGGACTTTTGTAAAGAAAGTAGCTTCAAACAGAGAAATAAATTAATCGAGAAATTTTTGAGCAATTGATGTAAGCTAATTTTTAAGCAACGCATGGTTTTTGCAGATAATGGACATGTACAAAAACGAGGAGATGGAGTACGAATTGGGCCCTAAAACCGAATTCTACGTGTGATGGTCGACGAAAAGTAGGCCCTTTCCGTGACCTTGAAGTTTTCCCGGAAGAACTGAGGTGCTGCATTCACAGAGCCCACTACTATCGTTAATTACAACTGGAATTGGGATCAAGCCGTTAGCTATCGTTCTCGAATCCGCCGACTCGTTCGGATAAAACGCGTCGGCGAGCCGAGAACAAGCAACAGACAAAACCGCGTTTACTCGTGTATTCTAGTTCATTCTCCTGGATATTTTTTTATAAAAGCGTCTTGTAACTCCATACTGTCCGTCGTCGCACGAGCAAGTACCTAGACTAAATATAAGGGAGTCAATAAAAAAACTGAAGTGATCTAGTCAAACTCTTACATTGATAAGCATATATATGCATATATATTTATTATACGTATATATGTGTATATATACACACGGTTCCCCAGGATTATCCGGTCAAACTTCGTCATCGAATATAGAAGCAGTTACGACAAAAAGGTGAAACTTTGCCGACTCAATTTGGGAAATGTATTCCTAACGCGATGGATTTTCGGACAAACGCAATGATTTCGCCAAATTTTACTACACAGCCTATTGTTTTCTACGTTTTCGTTTGCCTAAAATATTATCGCGGTATGGAAGGTATTTTCGAGCGGTTGCAAGTCTGCGAAGCTTCACGCGACGTTTGTTTTCTTATTTCCACCGACGAAGTTTGCTCGGAAACATCTTAGGATAGCGTGTATAGGTAAATGAGAAGCGTGGATTCCGCGGAACAGCGTACCGCGTGATTCATCGATTTCAATATTTTTCGATCGTTAACGCTATTACCGAATTCTATCGTTCTGCGTGCGTGAGCGAGATTGCGAGCGTGTATTCGTGTGTTTCATGCCTAACGCCAAATGGAATTTACCGTCGCCGATTCCTTCGCTGCGAAAAAAAAAACGATGCTTCTATGGTCGGAAACAGTCAATAGTTGCGTGTCGATTAGATTGTCACGGGCTGAGTCGCGTGTTCGAGCGAGTACTCGTTTCTTCCTTCTTCGAGTACTCTCGAGAATGGTCCAAAAGTAGCGTCGAGAGCCAAAGATACCGTTGTACATAAGAACCGAGCAAAATGGAGAGCCTAGCATTAATGATCACCACGTCGTTGTTTTCATTCTAACAATGTTATTTACACAAATTATTATATTAATCTATATTACATATTATCTATATTGAATATAAAGGAGTAAGGAGAAATAAAGGAATTGCTAGCTCGATCATCGTCGTTATCCGTGAAGAATCCTTGCACGCAACTCTCATTCAACAAGATTCCTACAGATGATAATCGTAATCGGGTGCATGGTTGAAGCGTTCGTAGTTCCGCGGTGAATTGAATCCTCCGTGGCTTCCAACGTTGAACGGAACTGAAAAACGATTATTTTGTTAATGGATTTCAGTGTCGTTTAAATGGATTTAATGATTTCGTTACGAAACTCGATAACGCTAATTAATCAATCATTTCCTACTTTTTGACGTAATACTTTTCCAGTAACTCGTTAATTACCTCCTGAAAAATGGTCTCCAGAGTGACCGCCGATGGAATGCTGTCCGCCATAGTAATCGTTTCCTACATCCAAGTGTCCATGAGGTCTAAATCCCCCGGAAAACGGTCCCGCAGGATAATTGTGTCCCTGTTGATAAGGACCTTGTCCATGGAAGCCTTGGAAGCCAGGATACGAGTCCGTGATTCGAGGCACCCTCGCTCCCTCGCAGACGAGGGCGACCACAATCAGCAACTAAAAACACCACGTTCCTAAAATCCGTCCACTTAACCGTACACGGGAAAACTCACGTAATATCTCATAACGAAGCGAGGAGTTCCAAGTTCTTAGCAAGATTATACTAAGTACACCCGCATACATTTGTTTTTATACTCGAAAGTTTCGAAAGGATACGAGAGAAGAAGATTACACCCCTGACGGTGGTTGCAAAATTGCGTAGCGGTTCGTTTCATTGCCGCGTCTTACGTAATCGGGTTGCGAGACAGTGACGAAACGATTCCTCGAAATAATCGGGAATCGGTTGGAAAACTCACCGCGACCGGATCGTAATTAATTCCTTACATAGAGTTGCTACGAAGCGATCTGACGTAATCTGATGAAAGGAAAATGGCGGCCTGTCGCGCACAGAAGTGCGATTTCGGAGTTGAACTAATAGATTTCGGAAGTAAAATCTATTTTCGTATTCGTACAATATTTTAGAGGTTCAGAAAATTTTTAAAAGAAAAGGAAAGCAAGAAGTCTGCAGTCTGAAGCACGCGAGTTTAATAGCGGCGCTAATGCGATTCAGTTTTGGGGAACAATCGAGAAAACTTTAGCTAGGAAATGAGTTTCCATAGGTTGAGAGATTAAGAGGTGGAGAAAGGCAATCTCAGAACGGGAGATGACCGCAGCTTCGTAATCTCTTGTTGTAGGAAGGATGTCGGTCTGTTATGAAACTCCCGCTAGTCTGATTGTTCCGGCGGATGAAAAGCTTCGGGGAAAGTTTGACGAAAATTAGCAGGCTATCGAAACTTTGCGTTCTCAAAGCATTCCTCGGTCTAAGCTTTTAACGAGTTCCATTCTCATCGTCGTCCCGCTAACGGCTTTACGTTTCGCGTTGGAGCGCGCGATTACGAAAATCGCGACGGGAAAGTCGAGGATGGGTGTGCACACTGAACAACGAAATTGATACTTCCTTTTTTTATTGTACAATCTGTGACATAGAAACTTTGCTAAATTACAGCTCGATTACTATCCGTTAAGGCAATCGTGGCGCGATAAAACTTCGCGAAGGCACTGAAACATTTTCGAAACCGATCGACTTTGCGACGTCAACGCGTCGATTACTTTATGGACAATACGGTTTTACGACCGATTGGTAAGCGGGCAGAGGATGAACGGGTTGGGCTATCTTCACGAAGCTGTACTGCTGCGGTTGCACCTGTACGACCTTCGGATGCTGATACTGAATCGGGTACGAAATCTGAGGCTTATGAACGATGGGTTGCACGTCGTACTTCTTGAGGTACACCTTGGGTGACTCGTACATCAGCTTTTGCACTATGGGTGCGTAATACATGGGCTTATGGTAAATCGGGGCATAGGACACCATCGGCTTCTGATAGATCGGATAAACCACTTTGGATTGAACCACCGGTTTCACGATTACGGGTGCCGGCGTCGGCTTCAGAATGACCGGAGGCGGCGCTGGCTTCACGTAGGTGATCATCGGCTTAGGGACGTACTGAATCGCTGGTTTCACGAAAATTTGTGGCGGCGGTGAATACGAGATCGGGTGAGAGTAAACCGGAGGGCATGGATTATGGTAGGATTCCCTCTTCGGCTTCATCCAGGCCTCCATCGACGTTTTGTCTTCCATCATGCCGTCCGGCATGTGCATGTTCATCGCGGTCTCCGAACGGACGCTTGACAGCCATATCAAACACGGTATCTACAGAAAGACAAAAACTTTCGAAGTTTTCACTGGGAACACGGACTAATAATCTTAGAACACTAATTATATTTCAGGAGAATTTTTCTAGAAAAGCGTGACAAAACTTTCGAGAGGATTCTTACCAGTAACCTGAACATGATTTCGTCTTAAACTTCCCCGCGAACTTCTGGAGCTAATGTCCCTGGCGAAACTAGAAGCGTGTCGTGCGTGGCCGTCGGTTTTATAAACTTTTGCTCCACTTAAACGGGGCAGGTTTCTTACGGGCCGAAGTCGAATGTGATTCCCTTAAGCGGAGTAAAAAGCGGTCGTCGGTCAGGACTGTGATGCAAGCGGTCGCGCCCCGGTATTTCCTGAATAAATTCTGCACCTCGGGCTGCAGTGGGTTATGTGGCGATCGTTAGAGTCGCGTTTGTCATTTACAACACGATCGCCAGTCATTGGCCGCTTTCTGGACCGACACAACCGCGGGGCACGCTTCGTAACATCGCTTCGGGTGTAGCCTACAGAAAAAGGCAGAAAAAGGTTTGCACGCTTAGAAATATTTACTGCCGTTTTATCTGATTTATATCGCCGCTCCCGCCATTTTAGGAACGTACAAGTAGATAAATTTTTATCTACAAGGAGTTAATTTTTTTTTAAGTCACAAAATTTATTTTAACTTTCAAGAGGTCACCTGAATATTGCTGTCAAAAAAATATATTAAGCAAAAATAATAATAATAATAATTTTATATAATATAATCAGAATAAGAATAATAATAATAATTCTATTATGGAGGTGATGTGATGAGATGGTATGAAGATGTTGACCTAAATTAACCTAATCAAATAATTTTGTCCTGCTGCATTTTCTATTAGCAATTACAAGTTATTCAGGTTATGTTTCACCCTCTGTTCACTCATTTTGTATTCAGAATTTTTAAATAATTGTCTAGTGTTTAAATTGAAATATTGGGAAGTCTAGCATTTGTGATATCTGAGACAATTACCCTACGAAGGTAAAAGATAGTAAAATCCCTAATCGAAGTTTTCACCAAGTGGCGAAGTAATTGTTTTATTACGGTGTTGACCAGCAATTAGAAGGAGAAAACTGTCGAAGTATGCGGATCGACGGGATCCAATCTGGTCAAGTTGACCTAATTAAGAAATACGTTGATTCAAAGAAAAAGCGAATGGCACGCTGAACACTTTCAAAATCCAAACATTCTATTGAAGAAGGAGATTGAATTGCAATTGTTATAAAAACAAAAACAATTTATTTGAGCAACAATACATTACAACAACAGTGGACTATGTACAAGAACTCCTGAAAACAAGGGATTTCGACTACATATTTGGTTGAACGACTCGAGTTTGATATGTCAGCATCCAGGATCAATGCTTCCAACCGTGTCCTTTGCTCTGGTGATGGAACACGTGCTTGTAGACAGGTACGTGCACAGGATACGGTTTTGGTATGGGCACTGGGAAGTGTTTTTCCACCGTCACTGCATATGGCTTCTCCACCACGTACGGTACCTGCGAGAGATTAATGTATATTATATGCGTGAGAGCTAGCGTAACATCCTAAATTTATACCACATGTCCAAACTTTCCTACTCTGAATGCTACTTCGTACATAATAGCAACATTCACTAAAGGACACGTTCCGCAATTTTTCGTATAAAAGTCAAACTTTAACTTGAAGAATTATATCCCTAAGAAACACTATTGCGGTCCATAAAAGGTTGCGACGTAATTTCATTTTCTATAAGCTAAGTTCTACGAGTACCTTTTTCTCCACCAAATAGGGCTCGGGCTTCTCCACAGGAATCTCAACGTGTTTCACTACTTCCACGGGCACTGGATGTGGAACTGGTACCTCGACCTGATACGGCTGCGGGATTGGTACTTTGATGTGCTGTGGGACCGGCACTGGAACCGGGTGAGGAATCGGTATGGCGTATTTCTTGTAAACCGGAATCTCCACGGGTTTCGACGTCTCGTGGTAAGTGGATCCTCCGTGCTCCTCTTCGTAGCCGGCGCACACCATCGTCACCAGAGCGGTCAGTATCTAGCCATAAAAAGAAAATGTTAATCGAAGAACAATCTTTCTACCAAAGGTAGACTTACTAAAATCCTCATGGTTCTGCACTGGGCACGCAATCTGCAGTGTTAACTGGCCACAATCTCTTTGATACTTTCAAAGTCACGGCCAAGTGTTTATATACCAACGTCACTTTCTCCCTTCTCTTCGTCACATTTACTCTTTCTGGTCGTTTATTTGTGCGCGTGCACGATCGCTCTATGATTGTTCGTAGATATCTGTGATGCTCTTCCTGATTCACTCTTTTACATCTTTCACATTTTTGCATATTTCTGAACTACCTTCCTCGTGAAACTAGCAAACCTTCTGCTATGGTCTACTTCGATAAAAAATTAATTGTCGACAATATTCGATGATGCTGAGAGTTTCGTATTTCTAAACAAATATTTTTTATATATTATATTATATATTTCTAAACATATATTTGGACCTAAGTGGTTTTTGATAGTTGGACTCTCATTACGGGCGAAAAAATATTTTAGAAACGCGCCGCTCCCACGGATACCAAATCCAGTAGCTTTCGATTCTCACCGTATAGAAATGATGGCGAAAGGAAGTCTCGGTTCAATTACCGAACGATTGAGTAATTGTACTTTTATCCACCCCGTCACAGGATAAACATTTTCGACAAGGCAGGAACGCAGCCATCGTAGATCATTGAGAATGAGCTCGGTGAAGCGAAGTAAACGTGGTCGTGGTCTAGTTCGCGTACCTAACAATTTGTAAACTACTGTCAGCCAGCTCTGAACACAAGTTCAACCGTGTCTATCGCGTTAACACGCGATGCTGAAGATCCTCCGCTTTCATGGTAAATTTCGCACAGAGGGTGCGAAGCGTTACACCATGCTACACGAATAAAATGCATCTCAAATTTTAATTCATTATTATATTAAATTCGTAACCTTTGCAGTTCTGTATTTAACTTTGCAGAGTTGTCGAATTTCCATTATTGAAATCTTTTGCCCTGGAGGCACGTTCTCTTCATTATGCGAGCGGTTTTCGAAACACGATTCACGACCCTAATATCACATTTACGTATAATTATACGGGGTGTTGGATTTCCATCGATCATCTGGTCGTACGTGAATCAAACTTTCGAACGGATATTCTCGTACTTCCTCTCGTTTTCAGGAGAGAGTTTAAGCTATAGAGAGTTTCTTGTATCGTCTGCGAGCGTGTACGCTTCCAGTTGTAGCGGAACGTGGACGCGGAGAAAAATGCTCGTTCAATATAGAATGTCATGGAAGAAAGATATAGTAATAGGGGTGTGGTCGTAGAAGAAAGAGAAGTCTGCGCTCGGAAGATTCGAATCGTACACGATACTCTCTGTATCAACGAGCGGAACAGTGAAAGTGTATCTCCCCGAGTAAAAGTGGTTTCGCGCGTCGATATAGGAACGTGTCTGTTGTTAGGCCGTTAGGCTCATTATGGCGAATCAAGATCGCGCAGAATTCCTTGTCTGGTTCGCGTTTAGCCGATTTGTAACGATGACAGGAAACGCTACGATTACGTTTCCTTCTGTTCTGATGAGACAGGAAGAGTGCAATTATAAGAACCGACAAAAAGATACACAAAAACTCGTGAAAATTTCTGACAATCACAAGCTTTTGAGGTAAAATTTGAGGTCACTAGAGCTTCTAAAAAATGAAGGATGAAGGATGTCATCTGAAGGATGTTTTTATAACTCTCAAAATTTTTATATGAAAGGACTTTCAATATGATCATAAACATCCTCGAGCTTCCGCGAAGTTAATTGAATTCGTGCACGCGAACGTGTAACGATACAACACAGTATTCTTTAAATATCCTTTATTAACAAAAACGCAGTATCAGAAATGGAAAACGTAACAAGTGTATAAAATCCGTAACAAAAAAGGCAACGTCAACCAGGACGTCATCTCGTTTCTTTTGGGAGTTGTAACGATGAACAAGGTGCTCGAATTTTGGATTCCAGAGAACAGTCAGCCAGAGAGACTTAATGCCATCCTTTGCCCTTGGAGGTGTAGTGGAAAACGTGCTTGTAGATGGGTACGTGGACCGGATAAGGCTTAGCGACCGGAATAGGGAACTTCTTCTCCACGTAGACCGGATACGGCTTCTCCACCACGAAAGGTACCTGCAGAAACACGTGTTCATGGCACATCGAACATTTATATAAATATATTTGTACTTACATGCTTCTCAACGACGACTGGTTCCGGTTTCTCGACAGGGATTTCGACGTGTTTGACGACTTCGACAGGGTAGGGGTGGGGGATCTCGATGGGGACGTGGTGAGGCTGGGGAATCGGGATCTCTATCTTCTGAGGAACTTCGACAGGCACCGGGTGAGGAATCGGAATAGCTGCAAAGATAGAACATTAAAATTTACTCTGAAATTTACTCTGGCTAAGGTCAGGAGATATTTACCGTATTTTTTATAAATTGGTATCTCTACCGGCTTCGACTTTTCCTCGTAGGTGCTGCTTCCGTGGTCCTCCTCGTAGTGACCCGCTGAAACCGTTCCGCAGAACACGGCGAACCCGAGCAAGAGGATCTGAAAATTACCATTAATTATCCTGACTTATCAAACATTGAGTAATTAACATCGACATTTGATATCAATCCCGTTTAACACGTTCGGTATCACGTAACATCTGTCTATCGCCATAAATTTCACGGAACGTGTTCACGAAATCACTGTAGCACGATCATCCAAAATACTGCAGAACCCATCTTACTATTTGATTCATTGTTGCAGATCTCCTTGGAGGGGGTGTTTAATTGTGCAGGGACAAGAATCGAGCGTTGAGTGTCTGTGGCACTGGAACAACGAGCTTATATACTAACATGGATTCCACCACCTTTCACTGCTTCTTCAAGCTATAGTACCGACCCTTTCCAGGATATATCAAACACCGTCTCACCGTCGATCAACCTTTGGACGAACTATATACTGTCGATGAATATGAAAGGATCCCGTTTCATTTTTCACGCGGTACATTGAACCGATCTCCGTCTATGGTGTTCCGGAAGTCGGGGTTACGCGTGCTCGCGGACACGGGAAGTAACATGTATCTCGTCGTTTTGGAACACGTTCTTTCTAGATCGTGTTGGTCTTGAATGAAAGTATGCAACATGCTCTTTCAAAACACTTTACGTATATTATTTGTGAAGGATGATTTTGATGAAGGACAAAGTAAAATTTTGTCACATGCTACTGACATATCAAATTTTTTAGAGATGTACAGAAATTGTTTTTGTAATGCATCAGATGGTACTAAAATTTAACCCTTTGCGCTCGAGAGTCATCATTATATTTAATACAATAATCTTAAATAAGAATTTTTTAACTGATTCTATAATATGACACGTGTGATGTATAAACGCAGTGAAACAAACAATAGTCGAAAAATAACCTCAAGAAAATTCATTTAACTTTTTAACTAAGTTTTAAAGTTGCAAACAGTCAAATTACCTTCGACTGCATGGGGAATAGATTTAAAAATTTGGAAATTGAAGAAAAAGACAGCCTGCAAATTTAGAAATACGTGGAAGCAAGCGAAAATTCAGAAGCTTAATTCAAAAATCCAAAAATGCTTTGGGAATATTTACATGAAACCTAGCAATAAATCTCGTAGTTCGAGTGGTAACTCAAAATCGTAGCCATAGCGGAAGATCAAAAGCGCCTGGAGAGTTAACCGCAAATTTGCGATAGCTCCATTTGCCGGAAGCGAACTGCGGTTGCGAAAATTTCTATGGACGAATCGATTGACGACCGGTGAATTCAAGACCGGAATGTTCGAAATAATCAAGTGGAATTAAGCACTAATCATGCGCATAAATTATACTTAAAATTTTAATGGTCACCGATTTCAGCGCGGTAAAAGATCGCAGATCTACCGGAAGTGAAGGCGTAGAGTGCTCTCAAGCGTAGATACATTCGTAGTTTCGGGAGTGACGGAATGAAAGTCGTATTCGAGAAAGAACTTTTATGAAAAACTGATCGAACAGATCTTTGTTCCTGTAAAAGCTTGAACAAATGGCGAGAGTAGGAAGTACGATCCGTAAATTCACGACCTACATAAACAATTAACGCGTGTTTATCAGAACGCTCGTATATGTTTCGGTCTTGATTCAAATTTTAATTACATGACGTTATCCCGTGGTCGAGATAATATCAGAATGCAATGTGGTTTATTTGCTAACGCGTATATTAATCCCTGATGCCTTGGGGCGACTGGGACACGAGAGTGGAGAAGTTAAATGCAACTACGGCAGGAATTTAATGCGAACGCGAATACAGATAATATGTAATATGGTAATAGCTTTGGACGAGAGTCCGTCTGTTTCGTGGTGGAAAGTTTATCCGGAATTTTGATGCGACCGCAAACTCCGAATATTCCAAATTCAAAGACTTCTTGTCTCATTTGCTAGAACGAAAAGAAACTAGATCCTCGTTAATGGCACGCGATGTTAGGTTAAAGAGTCAAGTCGAGACGTTCAAAGTTCAAGAACATCCGCTCTCCTTTGTTCATTTTGAGTCCACAAAAAAGCAAACCTCTGACCCGGAAGGAAAGTAGCTCCATCAATTTTAGCTGCTCATATTAATCAACGGCTACGATTATAAATGCTTCGCCATTTGTATCGACTGATTCCTTCGGTACGTTCACCTTTCTGAAGCCATTTACCTCTTATTTCTTTTTTCTATTGTTCTTTCCTATCGATAGCGGCGTGTATCTCGAGAAGAACGTTTGGTTATTTCCCACGGGCGAACAAGCTACGCCATTAACGTTCTTTGCTCAAATTGTTTTAGCGATGATATCGTTCTTCCTGGGGATCGTTTAGCACTCGAGATCGTGTCTCCCTTTGATCGCTGAAAAACCGCAAAACGATTCGTTGGTCAACGAGGAAATCTTTCCGATTGAGGACATTAAACGATCTGGTTGACTAGGATTTTCTAGAGTGAGTCCTCAGGTTTTAAATTTATAAAACTTGTAAATTATTACAAAATAAGAGCACTTTTGTCTAAGACTTCTGGATAATTCAATCCGTTTCTCGAACTAACGGAAATAAACAGAAATCGAACGTAATTAAGATCCGGAGAAACAGAGTTTTCCGATAACATCGTTTGTATTTCATTTGGAGGATTAAAGTTTGCGATTGGTCTGGACTCGTCGAGAGAATCTGTCGTCGTTCGTTTCTTAGTCGCTTAAACTTTCTTCCTGACCACTTTTTGCATCGTTTCTCTACTTTTTCTAGCGCGGCGACCATCAGCGCCCAGTTTGACGAATCCCGCTCAGATTTCTCCGCAAAAAACTATTTACCGCATTTTTATGAAATTGGACGAAAAAATGTGCGCGTCTTTAGCGTGTTCCTCCTTTTACATTGCTGTAATTACCGAGATCATCATTGCACCTTTCGCTAGTTTTTTCTGCGGCCATTTTCCTCGCTTCCGGTGTTACAAATTTTCGGCGAAGAGTGAAAGTATGTTAGACACTCCCTTCGTAAAAGCACACCTCTCGCCAACATCGTAGCAATTTTTTTTTCGGATAATATTGTATCGTTTCACTTAGATTACATTCTCTTCGAACGTCCTTTCAGTGGTCTGACAGTCGAATTTACGAAGGTCAATGACAGAGGAAAGCAATCGTTGCATTTACTTTCGCTAACTGAGCGCTGTTCAGCACGCGACGATCTCCTTTCTCCTCCGCATCTTCAGTCGTCATTATTCTAAGGCAGTGACCAATAATCGCAACGCCTCATTAACGTAACATTATGGCACCGAGATCAGAAGTCATTTGTTCGCATTATTCGTCGTCAATGACTTGTGATCAATCGTAACATTGACAGAGAGTTTTCTTGCAAATACCAGCAACCTTGTTATTTCTTACAGCTAGCTTTAAGTGCCTTTCGCAAAACAATGGCCATTGCGGGATTACAATGTTCGCAACCTTGTTAACGATGCAACTTGAATCGCCATTTTTGTAGCGAGTTTAAAACGAATGTCTGCTTTTTTATAATGCTTCTCTTATTCTATCTTCTCTCAGAACTAGCGAGTTTATGACATTTAAACGTAGTGTTCTTTTAGTGAAAGTAACTTTGACACAGTGGAGATATTGTTCCATTTTAAATTTCAGAATCAATACAGTATAATAGTTAACATAACAAATCTTTCAATACAACGTATATTAATTAGAAATAAAATATGTACAATGTAATCCATGTGTCAACACAGTTTCCAGCGTATGTTATTCCGAAATCAAATCATGATTATGTAAACGTTCGACCATGTCAATAATAGGCAACAGTAATATGAAAGCTTAATTAATTTGGTCATTGATACATTTATTAACAAACAACGAAAATACAGAGTCATATAACAACGTGTGTAATTACAGAGATATTGTTACAACAACGAATGACGAATCGATAACTTTAGCCGAGTGCTCTCAGTGGCCCTTGTGTTTGTGTATGATCGTTTTATAAATTGGGATCTTGATGGGAATAGGTTTTGGCACAGGTACAGGAACGTGTTTCACCACATGGAATGGGACATGCTTCTCAACCTTCACTGGTATGATTTTCTCTATCGGGGTGGGCACCTTCTTCTCCACCTTTGTGAATATTTGTTTCTCCACCTGGAAAAAATTGCGTTAGGGCCGTAAAGAACGATAATAAAATTTTGATGGTGAACGTTTACCGGATATGGCACGGGTTTCTGCACGACCACCGGAACCGGATAGCTTTGGGGAACGGACTGAACTTGCAAGCTTGGCACGAACAGTGGAACTTTCTTCGCTACTGGGATTCCTGTTACAATAAAGCGTATGTGGTGCAAAGTCCTAAATTTCGGTCAGCAGTAACTTACGTACCAATTTCTTTAACAACGGGTATAAAATGACCACCTCCATGACCACCTCCATAACCTCCTCCGTAACTTCCATAACTCTCCAGACCACCCCCGTGCTCCAATCCTCCTGATGCAATAAAACGAACGTATTATGTGAAAATACGTTCATGAAAAATGAAATTTCTTTTATATAATTTCGGAGCATCTGATTACTAATATGTGACCGCATATGTGAGACTAATATGTAGCGAGATCTGAGACTAATATGCAGTGACAACCTGACAACGTTGTGCTATGACTAGCGTGAGGTGGTAATAATAGTCTACTATACAATCAGACCTATTTCATCCAAGCTGATCCCTCCTCCGTGACCCACGTCAATTTCCCCCAAAGTCAGTCCATGACCTCCTAACTCCAGTTCGCTGGCCCAGCAGAACCCGACGGTCGCCAGAACCACGATCTTAAACAGGACATAGTTATCGATTACTAGCATAATCGGGATAAGAGGTAGACGAGGACACGTACGAGTTTTTCCATTCTATTCTTATTCTGTAGCTGCGTGAATAAAAGATCAACTCGAGACAAATTCGTCGGGTAGTCAGTTTATATAGCAGGAGACACAACCCCACTATTCCCAGAAACCGTATTCAACACCTTCACCGTGCAAGTTACATTTCTCCCTAGGATCAGTTACATAACGCAGGATTTCCGTCTTTCGTTAGCATCGCGATGAGCAACCCACTTTGTCCGCTCTTTTCCTGCTCTCGTTAGGATGTCTCGATTGTTCCTTTCTGTTTCGCATCGTAACTCGGAATGTCGTGATTTAATACGCTCGTATTAAGCGTACTTTGGCGATAAGCGGACTTCCTGCTTCCTGGTATCAGTTGCAAGCACAATGTTGCTAACGAAGCGAGCGAGCGTGACGGAAGCCATAAGGCGGAAGCTGAGGAAATGGACCCAATTACAAAGTTCATTAATACTACATCGAATCAACAAGTACTGTTTTTATACCGAGTTAAATCTCCTTGGTGTCATTTTCCTAATAACATTGTAATCAATATCATTTGGTTATATTCACACATCATATCATACATTCAGTTAGTGAAACTGGATATTTGAAAGGGAAGTCAAAGAAGTCAAGACTTTACCTTCACATGTACTTTCACATGTGCTCGTGACATTCTAATACTGCTGCGATGAAGACAATCTCTCAATCCTTACATATGTAGCCACTTAATGTAACACATGGTCTACTGTTGTAATGAAAACAATCTTAACTCCATATATAGCCACCTTGACTACGTAGCCATCTTGACTATATAGCCACCTTGATTATATAGCCAACTTGAATATACAGCCACCTTGACTATATAGCCACCTTGACTGTACAGCCACCTTGACTATATAACCACCTTGACTATATAGCCACCTTGACTATATAACCACCTTGACTATGTAGCCACCTTGACTATATAGCCATCTTGCCTATATAGCCATCCTGAAATTTCCCTCCAACTATAACGAAGATCCAGGAAGAGTCTGTTGCATTTGTTATGCAAAGTAAATGGAAAGTTTAAAAAGTTTCCTGCTCCGTTAATTATCATTACGTTACGCGAGTGTATGAGGTAAAGTTCCTATTATCCTGGTCCCACGTCTTCGCCGTTGACAATGGCTGATCCTGACAATCGTTTTCTAAATCGAGCGTTCACTTTCTATGGAATCTGATGTATCGAAAATACCACAGTGAAAGTTTCGATTATGATCTCGAGCATGTTAAATCGGATTCATCAGGTGCGACGGCGGCAATCGAAACAGCAGGAAAATCATTTGATCCGCGTGGAAAGTTTTTCCATCAAAATTATCGAGTTTCGACAAACACCGAGTGCTCCTTCGAAACGCATTTGCATCAAGATCATGTTTTGCGACAGTGAAACTCATCTACATTATTGGTTTGTTTTTAACGCGGAACTGCTTCCTGTACATTAATACAGAGATGAATTATCTGGTAGCATCTAGCGGAGGGATTTTCACGAACTTTCACCGGGAAAATAGCGACTCGTTAATTTTTCAATCATTTTATTGGAAAAACAAGAACAGCAACATTTATAAAAATAAAAAATAAACAGATAATAGTAACAATTTTTAACATATATACAGGGAAAAGCTCAGTCGTTACACCTTCGCGGAATCATTTATGCTTGACTTTCACGGCGATCCTGTCAGGGTTGCTCCCTGGAGTAAAAGCGGTGAACGTCCGAGATCTAATGATTCGAAACGATCTAATGCTTCTTCGCGTGGTGGTAGATCGTCTTGTAGATGGGGATCTTAATGGGATACGGTTTGATGACCGGCACGGGCACGTGTTTCTCGATCGTGATGGGTATCGGTTTTTCTACAGGCACTGGAATATGTTTCTCCACAGGGAACGGAACCTTCTTTTCCACAGGAACAGCTACGGTCTTCACCACCTGAACCGGCACCAGTTTTGGCACCGGGTGCGCAACCGGGTACTGCTGGGGCACACCGACTGGCACGGGGTGGGGTACAGCAATCTTCACGATATGAGGAACTGGTACCCCTAAAAATTAAACAAACTTATCGATCCGCTCCAAAATCATTATTTTTCCGGACTTACCGATATGCTTGACCACTTTAACGGGCACGGGCTTCGTCACCTCGACGTGCTCGGAAACAGGGACGCTCTGAACCACGCTGTGGTGGCCACCGTCTAAGGAAACACCGCCCTCGTCGCCACCCTCGTAACCGCCGCCGAGGGAAGAGTAATCCGAGCTCAAGTGGTCACCGGACGATTCCAGATGTCCTCCGGAAGATCCTTCGAGGCTCGCGACGTGGCCACCTCCGAAATCGCCGCCA